AGATCCGGCTGCTACAAGATTGTTTGCTCATGTGGTCGATGTTATGTTGGTGATACATGCCGACCTATTCAACAATGATTGATAAAACACAAAAATGCTTGCAAAGGTAGCTGGATCCAACGGTCAGAAGGGGCCGAATACATGGTAGATACTGGATATGAAATAAAATGGTCTCAAACTAGTAGCTTTGCTGATTACGGTACGTCTGTGTTTAAAAGAAAGATAAGAGAGGCTATTGAAATTGATAGATTATGAAATACGTTCAATGTGAGAAACGGTGGTAGAAAGTTGAGTAGGAATTACTTATGCATGATTGATAGGTTATAAGAGAGAGAGGGTGCTGAGTCGCCTTCAAAAAGGGAGATTTAACCTTTGACAAGTCTGATTTAGGAACCGTATTGCATATAGACGCTAACATATGCAAATATACATACTCATACAATCGAGCAAAAATAACAGAACCAGTATGAAAGAAAATTTAACAAACCACTTTATATCGATGTATGTAGGTTTTTTTTCAAGTTTTAATTTTTTGGCTCGATTGAGTCTATATAAGAAGTAATATAGAAGCGGATAGTGTTTTTGCTTCTGTGTTAACGTGAGACTTCTACAAGAATGACGCCCAGCTCTGATGATGTCCATCATATGATGGACGAAAGCTCAGCACGTTTTCACCCGAAACGAGGGAAGAAGTCTTGTGGACTGCGTCAGCATGAATATCATATAAAAGCCAAACGGCTGCAGTACAACGAGTTTCGTCCGTCCTCATCTGGCGAGATCGACTAACGAATCTCTTCATGCACTTTCATTCGAAATGAAGACCCCCCTAACAATGTTTTATTGGATCTAACTGACTCTAATTTACTCATTTTCAACCTATACACATGTTCTATAATTGAAAATATTGTTCTATCGTGATAATTCGCCATAGCTTGTCTCTTTAGTTGAACAGATAACAAAGATGCATGTAGGCCAGGGAGTGAAAACACTAAATGATATTCAATCAAATCAACTTCTCACTAATTATTCATTGAAATAATTTACTTTAAATTCCCTTATTGAGGATATATATTATAATGACAAAAGGTGGAAAAGTTAAAAAAACTAAAAAGGACTCAGAGAAAAGCTCTTATTTCAAAGTGCAACCCAGTGTTCAGTACCCTGTATTTGAGTTAGCCAAAATCGATCAATATTATGTATCAGGATGGGTTTGTCTATGCATTGCTTAAAGCTACAAACAGGTGGCCACGAGACACGAAGAGGCAAAGCTATCAATGTTAGCATCACGCTTTACTGCTCCAAACTGCTTCCAATGAGGCTAGTGTGTGAAATCAAGATGATCCTCGCACATTTCCAACTTCTGGTTAGATGTCTGAAACGTAATATCGTCTGTTTCCACAAACAAGTGGTTTGTCCTCCATTATTATGTCAATATCGCGATCTAACTTTGGCTTACGGAGCATTATTGCAGTTTCTGAAGACTGTGGAACCCAAACTTGTAGCAAGGATAAACCTGGATGTGTTGAAACTGGACAATACAGGCAGGACATCAATAAGTGATAGAGATGTTAATGGTGACACGATTAACTCACAGACCGAATACGGCCAGAAGGTGGCTTTTTCGGAAGTTTCTTCAACCTTAGCTCCGACAGAAGGCATCTTGAATAAACCCGTTGACATGGTTCAGAGAAAATGCTTTCTTAATGGGATTGTCTACAGGACGTCCTCTCAGAGAAGATTTGGCAGAACTCCATCCGACTCATGGACATCAATCATTCCTCGTAACGGACATACACAATTGACAGTCTCTAACAAGGTGTCCTTTCATTCCCAAGGGGAATCGGCTTCATCGGATGGAGTCTATCCATCTCACACTTCTCCGTATCAACTAATAGCCTCTGTCCCTCACCTAGATAGGCTTGATAAGGAGCCCTCGTGCAGTTTTGATATTACAAGAGCAATTCATAAGACTGGACCTAGCTCGGGAATAAGCACGAATGTCATACGTATTTCTGATTCGGTGTTTGGAATTCAGAGTAATATCACCAAGGCTATCATGAGCATCCAGAAATTGGAAAAAAGCCTTGCTTACATTCACCACTTATCGGAAGAGTTGATGCAGATCGAAATCACTGATATTAGTCAGCAGGGCCTACTGGAGGAAATCCTAATAGAGTTATTTAAGAATATTCGTCAAATGAAGATGCGACTACTGGATCTGACTGAGAGTGCAAAGCGAATAAATAGTCGCCGAAATGTAGAACGGGTGATGTTGCAGCTGCGCAGGCGGAACACTTTAAAAGCATTGATAGAAATGATTGATATGGAAAGGCAAAAACCGGTCCGATGGAGGATATAACATTCTATTTATTCATAACAATCAATTTATTCACAACAAAAATAACTTCGAAGGAGTAAGATAGTGTGGGCTTATGTAAGGTAGAAGTCTCATTTCGTTGTATATAAGTTGTTTAACCTTTTTCCCGCAACTTGGTAATATTAGCAAAAGATCTAGAGGAATGTACATTGTCCGGAGTCCATTGTATGTATTATCATTTCCAGAGGAGGACCGTGGACGTGTTACATTCTCAGGCGTTTCGCCGGTATCGTAGTCGACATAGTCAGTGAGTCTTGCCATGCTTAGAACCACACTAAAACCCGTCAAAGAAACAAGTGAAGCCGATCCTTTGACCGACTGTCTGCTAGACAATTGTGGTATCTTTTCTTTTTCCCTGGGCTATTCACCAATCCAATATCCTCGTATCATCCCTTCACTATCACGATTTCTAAATTGCTTAGTTAAATATGGTATTGTATGCCATTCCGAGTGAGAATTTTCTTCACTCCTAGTATGCTTTCTAATCCCCTCACCCACCTTGATCCTAGTGCTGGGAATGCTGATCAGAGTCTGCTCTACTATTCCGCAATCCGCATCTTATTGGTCTTATCAGAGTCTCCCTTTTGCTCCGTAGGATCTGCTTCCTACCTTTTGTTTCAGGTAGTTCACTTGACTCCTGCCACCCTATCTCTACTAGTCGAAGTGTTATTTTCGAGATTGTATCAAGCTGTGATGACACTCATACCCCCGACTCGATAAGTAGATCCCTAAGATTCAGGATTATCAATCTGGATGGGAGAATAACTTAAGGCTAAGGATTACGAGTAGTACTCATGGTCAAGCCTTTCTTTCGTGGACCATGTATATAATCAAACACGTCAACTGTTAGCCAAGTAGCTATAGTCTCCAACTTATCCATAATACCAAGTGTATGAATTCCTATGCCCTAGTCTCTTGCGTTAACAACCCAAAAATGTCATGGTTCTACTTGCTTTGATTAGTTTCAATGTAGAACTAGAAATTTTGTGGGTTAGCACACAAGAAACTATGGCATAGGAGATCATAGACTTTATATTATGGATAGAAAGAGGACTGACGCAGTGGAGACTAGAGCTATTTGGCTAACAATAGACGTGTTTGATCATAGACGTTTTCCAGGAAGCACATCTGTTATTAGCAAATTAGCTCTAGTCTCCACCGCATCTATCCTGTTTCTAGCCATAGTGCCAAGTCTATGGCCTGCTATGCCATAGTCTCTTGTGTGCCAATCCACAAATTTTCTGGTTGTACATTAAAACTAATCAAAACAAATAGAACCACGACATTTCTGGGTTGGCAACACAAAATAATATGGCATAGGAAGTCGTAAAATGGGCACTAGTCCTTGAAACATGATAGATGTGGCGCACAGTAGAGCTAGTTGGCTAACAGTAGACACGTTTATTCAAAAACGTGGTCCATAAAGAAAAGGCTTGAACATGAGAATTACTCGGGCTCTTTAGTCTCAAGTTACTCTCCCATCCAGCTTGAGAAACCTGATTCTTATGGGCCTACTCATCGAGGTGGGAATAGGCGTGCCAACACAGCTTGAGACAATCTTGGAAATAACACCTAGAGTAGTACAGATAGTGTGACAGGGGTCAAGAAAAATAATTGAACCAGGAAGTTAGGAGGTGGATCCTACGGGACAAGAGGGAGATTCTGATAAGACCTATGGTAAGAGGATTGCGGGGAAATTTGGCAGTCTCTGATCCACATTCCCAGCAAAATGGTGAAGGGGGTTGAGGGGGTGAGTAAGCCAGCATGGGGTATGGCGAGTTCTCATTAAATCCGCTAAAAAGGGCACACAATACCAGATTTAAATAAGCAATTAAGAAATTGTGATAGTGACGGGGTGATACAAGGTTAGAGGATTGAGGAATTGCCCAGGGCAGAAGAAGAGATAACACAAATGTTTAGCAGACAATTGGTCAAAGGTTTGGCTTCACTTGTCCCTTTGACGGGTTGTAATATGGTGCTAAGAATGGGAAGGCTTAGTAACAATGCCAGCGAATCATCTGTGAATCTACCACATCCACGGTCAGACTTTGGAAATTATCATGCATACTATGGACTCCGGACTAGATTCATTGTTCTAGGTTTTCCTACCAATATGACCAAGTTGCGAAAACAAGGTCAAGCAACTTCTAGAAAGACTTAACGTTGCTATCTTTGCTGACATGATTATGAAGTACTAACAACAATCTCTTATATTTGGTTAGGTTTGATTTAAAAGAGAACGCTTAAGAAATAGACGCAGTTTGCTGAGTTTAAGGACATCACTGCGTATCTCTAAATGTTATAGTAGGGTAGTATGATAAATTGAGCTAAAATGTCATAACTCTCTAGTAGCGTCATTAATATCTTTCCCTCCTCTACGCTGATTTCCATAATATTTTTTTCCCACTAAGTAACCTCAGAATTGTGCAAACTATTTTAAATGGCTTATAGGGGGAACTTTCAAATACAAGTTTGAGTGCTTTTTTTTCTATCTAATTCAATCTGCTAC